ATCCCACTCTCATTAAAAATACATATTATTTCTCACTATAAACAGTAATTTTTTAAAAAATAAGTAAAATTTAATAATTATTTAAAATAAATTATTAAAATTCAGAATTGTATAAGCTTTTTAATAAATAAAAGGGAAAACCCAAAATTATTTTAATAAACTCTAATATATCCAAAAGCCTGCAATAAATGAACTTTTAGACCTCCAATAAAATTTATGCACCCCGCCTAATAGTGTTTCATTTCATTAAAATCTTGAATGCGCCGATGTAGCAGCTGCAGGCACGTAGCCAGACGGTGGAGAGGGAGAGAAATCCCCCCCCCCCCCACTCTGCAGCCATCCATAACAAAATGCAGATTGTAAATTAATTTAATGTTGAAAAAATATGAAAGGCTTACATGAATTTTGTTTAGTTTTTATTTCAAATATTATTTTTCCTTGTGTATTAATATTTTATCCCGAAAATTTAAGGCATAATTTTTGCATTTTTTTAAACACTGATGGATGTAAAAAAAATTTTAACAACAAAAAAGACCTAAAAGTAAAATAATTTTATATAAAAAATATATACACCCCAATAATAGTTACATAAAATATAATAACTGAGTATTCCTTATTACAATATGAGACATCATATCTTATTCCTGTTCACTGCTGTGTATAAAATATTGCTTAAGTATAATTCTATTTAATTTATATCTAATTGTTTGATATTAGAATTTTGAGAATACAAATAAAATAGAATAAAAAAAATTAAATACTAATTACTTTATTTATAATATTAATTGTAATTAAATAAATTATAATTAACATAAAAAAAATTAAAAAGCAAAATAAAAATTAAAGTCTACTAAAATTTATAAAAATTTCTTCTTATTTTTTATCGCTATATTTAATGCTACTAAAATTAACATCATATAATCTCGTCGTATTCATATTCTTATTCAAATTTTAATATTTAACTTTATATATAAAAAAAACTATTTTTCGTAACTATTCAAATTTATATAAACCACTATTTAATTAAATACAAATAATAATATTCTAATTATTACAACACCCTTCCACTTATGTTGGATCCACCCTTCTGCAAATGAACAACTTTCTTTCGATTTCGACTTAGCCTTGTATAGCCTCCAACTCTATTCTTCTTAAACTTTAATGTATCTAATTTATAACTACAGCTGTCTTTTGCTTAGTATTCTTATTTCTAAAAACCGTTCGTGTCCGATTACAGCTTGAACATTGAGTTAATCCCCATCTTTCACGAAAGCATCACTTTTGTCTCATCATATCTACGATAAAGATTGCTTATAACGATAACGCTCTTTTATAACGATACTGACTTTGTCACGATCCTAACGGTACCAATCTTTTGTAACAATAACCATCTCTTGTAATAAAGATCTCTTATACAATAACTATTTCTTGTATCTTTTAATTCCAAATAAAAATCCGATCTCTAAATGAGCTCGATTGCGGTATGAATTTTCTAATGATGAAAGCCGTTTCTCTTTATGAAGATTTTGGTTACTCAACAACCTAATATTTTGCTAAATATTATCAACTTAATTCACCGTTAAACGTATATCTATAATAAAAATAACGAATTTCTTTTAGCTAAAACGATCACTTGTGCGTATACTAATAATAAATATGATTAAACAAAATTTCTAGAGTGTACGAAATGTCACATATTCAGAGACAAAATTTGCTTGATAGAATTATTTCTGTGACTTCTTGTGCTACAAGAAGAAAGAAACTGTAAAAGGCATGCGCGACCAGATGGAGCCCACGACATCTGGCGTCCTCATTTTTGACGTAGAAGAGCTTATTTTGAGTGCCCTTGAAGAAATATGGGATTGGTCTGAACTAAATATTTCAACTGAATCAAGACAACCTATTTTATTTTGCATTGGAATGGATAAAAAAATTATTTAATTACACAACAATTTTGTGCAATATATAAAAAAAGAATAATATGAATTTGATGGAGACTATGAGAATCACCAATATTATTATATTTCAACTTCAAAAACTATGAAATAACATTGACCATGAATTTCTGAAATTTTTGTGATTGTTGAGGAGAGCCAAATTATAAATCAATTGAGGATTATTATTAAATAATAGTTGTTTTCATGAATTTGTGGTTCACCAAATGGCACTATCTAAATTACAAATTTTATTATCAATAAATCCTTCAGTAGAAATATTAAATCTTGACCTCAAAAAAATTAAATGTTTGGTTGAATTTTATTCAGGGGATTAATGTTTCGGAAGGTCAATTGATTTCTGATTTTAAATGTTGCTACTAAAGATTAATTCTACTAGATAATATTTCGAGAAACGCAAAGGAAGCATTGTTTAAAATATATTTTAGAGTTTTTTCTAAATATATTTTAACTATTATATATTTTGGCAGCATTACCAGTAAGCAATGAAATAATTTTTTCGTCATTAATGAGAATAAAAACCTATCTTAGGAGTACAGTGGCCCCTACACTTTTTGATCGACGAAAACAAAATACCCATAACCCCCCCTCTCCTCGAAAAAACAGTTAATTATTTTTTGTCACATTGCAGTACATGAGGTAAGTAGGAATGATTAAAAAATATTTATATAAAATTGATAATTAGGGGAAGCAGAAATTTTTTAAAGTAAACGATAAGGTAAAATAAACGAATAATTTTTTCAATCTGAATCATAAGTCTCAGAATCATCAGAAGGAAGATGAAGCTAAATAATGTATTAATATAAATAATAAAATTAATTTTCAATTCTCAGAATCTGACTAATGTTGTTAAACCATCTAACTCTGGCCAGCTCTAAAACAGCTTAGCTAAGTTTTTATTCTAAAAAAATAGTCTCTATCATTAAGTTGAGGCTAAACTTAGAAGTTTAAGTCAATTTTTTTAGTGAATATTCTTGATCACGCCATATTAGAGTTAGCCAAAGGTAGGCGATTTAACACATCACTATATCTGACAATTCTAGATTCTTTAACCTCTAGATCATGTGTAATAATTACATCCCTCGTTTTAGCCATAATATAAATATTTCGAATCTTAGACATTTTTTCAAAAACTTGACTTGAATTTATTTGGTAAAATTCACAAATATCCTTATATCATCTTTTCCGTCATTCCTATGGCTTAAAAAATGATGTTTGATTAAAAAAATTTATCGATTCGTAATTGAATCTTTCATTAAACTGCATGATATCAAATCAAATGCAAAATAAACTGGTTTTATAGCTAAAATAAAATATTATATTTAATAATGAATGTATATAACCTCTCCTTTTTGGATTGTAATAAAATATTATATTTGATAATGAAAGTATATACACCTTTCCTTTTTGGATTGTAATGTTTGAAATTTAGATCTTTCAAAATCAAAAAGCAGATATACCCCATTCATAAAATCTTGTGCCTATAAATAAACTTTCACAAATTCAGTGTTATTATCTATTAGGATTAAAAAAAATAATACAAAACAATCATTTAAATTATGCTTCTCAAATTAATCAGGCAATCTTTTGCTAATTGAATTTGATTTATTGCAAACCCTATATCCTTAGAATTGGTTTGCAATTTTGTACAAGCCAGCTTATTATCAACAATATTTTATCCAAAACACAAAGTGATAAAATGAAAATCAAAATTTTCTATTCTAACAAAAATAGCATTAGCTTTGGTAGAAGTGACAGAATATTTAGATTCATTTAATTTATCAAAGCTGCCCTCAAGATATTATAAAGTAGAAAATTTTTTATAATAGCTTTATTGATGATAGCCAGCCTCGATAAATATTAAATAAACTTTTAAATCTATAGGATAATATTACCGAGTAATGTTCTTGATGCCTAAAATATAGCCAATGTGTAGAAGAGACTAACAATTGTCACGATCACCTTTAAGCATCTATATTGTAAAATGTTAGACAAAGATATCAAAGAAGATTTATCATCAAAAATTACAATTGTCATAATCTTTATTTTAAAACTTTTACCATTTTTGAAACAAATGGGTAAAAAAAAATATTATAAACATGTTAAATTAATATTTCATTCAGATATAATATAGAAAAGTAAGAATCAGTATTTTTAAACTTTTTAGATTTTTTATAGTTACAATGGGTTTGCAGTACCACCTGGAAGTTGGATCAAGCTAACAGTCGAGTCAGCTTATTTAGCAATTGCAATTAGTCTAGGAAAAATAGCCAGAGGATAACTATATCCCTAAATATAGAAGATATAACCAAAGAGAATTGAATAACCTTGACCACTCATTCCCAAGGTCAAGAGTTGAAGATTGGAAGTTAAAGATACAACAATTGAGGCAGACTTGTTAAATAATATTAATTAAGATCCAATTAGAGAAGAATTGTCATTAGGTCCATTAGAAACCAGTCAGTAAGATTAGATATTGAAGTTAAGACAATAGGGCAGCAGATATTCTAAAATGAGAACGGCACTATTACAAAAGCTATATCAAGATTATCGGAGAGAATGGCTCAAAGTAGTCGATTCCGGAGTAATATGACTATAACATCGGTAGATCTAAAACATGTGGACTCTCAATCAAATATATTGAGTGTTATACCAGATTTACCTGAATAGATCTTCATGTAATTGTATTGGTAGGGTGCTCCTTAAATAAGTGTAATATATTAAATGATTAACAATGTACTAGCAGATGAAATTTTGGTTGTTATCTTATGAAATAAATATGATAGTTTAACGTATTTTTTTTAATTTTCATAGGATAATATTATTTCGTAGTATTCAATTTCATTTAATAAAATTTAAATTCGTGTTATAAAGTCTTACTTTGAAATAAAGCAAATAAGATATAGATAAAATCTATTTCTGGGAATTCACGATATTATCGTAAAAAATGGGAGACAATATATTTATTGGAATAAAAAAATTATATTATTGAGCTCAACTTAGCTTTTTGACGGATGTCATATGATTGATAAGGAGAATCAATTAGTTTACGCGTCTGTTAGATTGCAAATAATTTATGCAAAAATCGAATCTTGCAAAAATAAAAATTATATTTTTTGCTCAGAGCAGAGAACTTATAGGAAAAGAGTACGAATACATATCAATCCCTTGCAAATTATCTTATGGTATGAATATTTATGGGATTAAGTTAAATATATAATTATTTTAGATCATTTAATTAGCTCTATTGAAGAAAATTTGACCCCTCTTAAAATCTTAAACAAAAAATTCAGAATAGCTAAGAATCTAGAATATATAAATGAGAATTATAGCATAATTTTAAAAGACAATGATGAAATTGCTCTCATAACTCCAATTGGTGGAGGCTAAAACTTTGATATAATTAATATATATGGATTCATTACCAGAGCCTAATAATAAGCCATTTACTTTGATTAATCTGTCTTCAACTGATAATTCTCATTTTAAAAGCAGATGTAATGATATTTTTGCTAATTTGAGTAATTCCACCCTCAAAAAAAATATTCTAAAAGAGGATCTTAGTGATGATGAAGATTCCAACAAAAATATTAAAGTTATTCAAAATGACATAAATATCAAATCAATACTTAAAATTAAAACAAAATCAAATTATCAACCAATATCTGCAAACAAAAATATAAGCATTATAGAAATCACTGACCAAATAGATATTGTTAATGAGAATGTAAACACAATACAAAATATCAACTATAATGATAATCCTATTAACGACAATTTAGTCACAATACAAGAAAATGAATTTAATCAGGATTCTATTGACAATGAAACTATATATCATAGTTCTGATTCTTCTATGGACAATCTTAACAAGACACCATCTTTAACAAAATGGGTTAAATATGATTTAAGTGACACTCCATTATCTACAGATGCTGATAATAATAGTTCAGCACTTTCTTTTATTGAATCATTAAAACATAAAACTGATGATGAAAATATGGATGATTCAATAGATCTAGCTCATCAAACTCATAAATTTAGCAAACTAACAACTGTTAAAAAAATATCTTTATCCAAACAACCCAAACGTAAAATTTTATATTTAGAGGATGATATAGAAGATGCTGAAAATAAATCTGAAGATTTACCTAGAAAGGTTAGTTCTAAATCTATAAAATTGAATCATCTTAATATATATCCTGATGAATAAGTTTGGATTGCCTAATATATATTTAATGTTCAATTTATAAAATATAAAAGTGTAAATCAATAAATATGAAAAATTTAATTGCTTTATCAAATGAGCCTCTAGATGTGAATAATATTTTAAAATTCCTCACAGAACCAGAAAATGGTGCCATATCCTTATTTATTGGCACCACCAGGGAAGATAAAATCACTTATCAAAACATCAAATATAACAACACTAACAATGATAATTTATCTGTTTTTCATCCAGAATCAGAGGGCAAAAATTTTGATATTGATTTGATTAAACCAGATACCATTTTCAGTACTCACTATTTATTATATGAAGCCTTTGAGCCAATGGCTCTTAAAGTAATGAATGCTATATGTTCAGAAATAGATTATAATAATTTTAACCATTCAATAAATAAACATAATATAATTGATACCAATTTATCCAAAATAGATAGTTCAATATCAGAATTTACAGATCAATTAACTATAAATAATATTTCTAATGAAATAGGGAATATTGCTATTTTACACAGGCTGGGTAAGGTTAATGTGGGTGAAACAAGTGTTTGTATAGGAGTCTCATCACCTCACAGAAAATTTGCTATCAAAGCGGTTGAATATGCAATTGAAAGTTTGAAACAGCGGGTACCTATTTGGAAGAAGGAGATTTATAAAGCTAAATTTTCACATAATACTATTATTGAATATGGTTGTTGGAAAGATAATGGATGATTTTTATGTAATATATATTAAATTATTTGTAATATAAATTCACTATGAAATCATATGAGTAATAAATTTTAAATCAATTTCTTTTTATTATCATCTTGATATTATTTTTAATATTTTATCTCAATTTATAATCTTAATTACTAAAATACATTATTTGCAATATTTTATTTCATTATGATAAATAAATCATTTCACCTAAGAGGAATAAATTTTTTTTTTTACAAAATCTATAATTTTTTTGTAAATCATGCAATAATTTTGTTTAAAAAATTGTTAAATATTTGTATAGATCAAATCCTGGTTGCAAATTTATTTAGCTTAATATAATTATTTTAGTTAGGTTTTGTTATGATTTTTGCTTTTTAGGCATAAACATTTTTCTTGAAATTGTCATTTAAATTCAAAATATTCGTTTCTCAAATGGAATAAGGTGGTAATTACAGTCTCCTGCTCCATCATTCAGCTCTTTTGCCAGTTAAAAATTGTATTCTTTCTGCTTGGTCCACAAATTCGAATATGTGAGGTGCACTTATAATAATGCCAATGGTTCCGGCCAGACTTACGATCACGAAAATGTAGAGTAGCAGGCGGTCTATTACTATAGCTATGTATTTCCAGTCTTCTTTCTCCTAAGTTATTTTTAATTTGAATACAAAATTTTCACAAAATTAAAAATAAGTATATTAGTGCCACCCCCTCCCTCGGAAAAAAATCTTACCACGAATGTTACCTTAAATGTAACATTGTTTTAGTTTTTTTTAAAATAATTTTATAAATGCCATATATTATCATTATATATGATTAAATATAAAAATTTGAATAAAAATAGAGTATTTAATTGATTGAAATATAATTTAAATGAAGGATTTTTAAGAATTAATGTTCTGCTGTCTCATTAAATATTAATTAATAATTACTATATTGGAATGGAAATTATTGCACTGTATTTTAAACGTGATTTATATAATGGTTATATTTAAAGACTTATGATTATGGTGAGCTGGACTGACCATAAGATCAATTGGGTTTGCTCACGTAGCCACGAGAAAGAAAATAGAGGCCCATCAATTATATATTTTTTATAAGGCTGTGTCTTAAATAAACTTTCAGAATCAGAAGTTTTTAAATTTTCATCAAATAATATGTTTTAATTCTGAAATTTTCTAGAATTTTTTTAGGACATGTTTTATTTTTATATTTAAAAATAACTTATTTCTTCTATTCGTTAAAGTTACGATTCAAGTTTAATTTTAGATATTTAGGCCACAGCCTGATATAATCAAGTTTTATTCATATTTTATATATTAAAAATTGTTTCTCATGTTTTTTAGCATTTAGTTTCAGATATGTTAGTTTATTTTGATATATTGATAATTTATATTCATACTATAAATACTATGATATTTATCAGAAACTGCAGAGACACCATTTACACGGCCTGGGTTTAAAAGAAAAATTGGCCGGATTTTTTTAAAAATATATATTAATTTTTATATATAATGGCGATTTAAAAAAAAAATTTTAGGTCCTGCCCGGCATGGTTATATCTAAAAAAAATTAGAATATGACCTGGTCCTTGTATCCGGGCTTAGGGCCAGGCCTGCAGGTCTTTACTTATCAATACATTCTAGAGGATTGCCATTTAGCTATATTATATGGTTTATAATTCATTATAGAAATAGTTTTCAATATTGTAAATCCTGTTGCTGATATAAAATCCTAGGTATAAAAATCATTAATTTAGTCATCTTATAATGCATCTTTTATTAATTAAAGGATAATTAATTGATTTGTTTAGCTTAACTTGTGTAAACCATTCATAATAAAGCTATAAAAATGGCTAAAAATTTAAATAAACGTTTCTGATTTAATAGTTGCCAGATAGCATATGAAATTTAAAAAAAAATAGAAGTCGAACAAGGATGAGGATGCACAATGACGCACACACGTATGTACCCCCGCAATGTTGTCTCTATAGTGTTGAAGTATTTAACCCTGTATTTGATCAAATTATAAATGTTGAACGAATGGTTTTCGATGAATAAAGAGCTTATAACAAATTCGGAATATTTTCACCCGAATCCAGTGTCTAATTATGACATCGATTTTCATTTACCCATAATTACTAAGATTTAATGTCAAGTTAAATAAAAAAAAATACTAGCTATTTGTATTAGTGAGGAACTGGGGAGTTGTGGAATTAATACGTGTAATCACTTAAATATGTAAATGAATCAGCGCTTTAATATAAAAAATGCTTTTTACCCTAAAAATTATGAATTATAGTCGTCGTTTTTAAAATTTACCAATTATTCTTTATAGTGATATTAGACACATTTTTGAGGAAGAGGGTAGGGTGAAAATTTTTATTAGCTTAAAATGATACTTGCGAGAACGAAGGGCCCCCCCCCCCCAGGCTATGCCTATGATTAAGTTACTTCCATAATGTAATAAAAAATATATTTATAGGCTATATAAATTTTTTTCTTCCAAATCTTTGGGTTCGGTTTCAGAAATATTACGGTGGGAAGTATAAATATAATATAAAAAAAATGCATTAATGGCAATGGCAAAAAAAATCTAGGAATCAAAAATTTCAAGGAAAAATAACTTAAAAATAAAAAATTACTTCCATAATGTAATAAAAAATATATTTATAGGCTATATAAATTTTTTTCTTCCAAATTTTTATGGTTCGGTTTCAGAAATATTACGGTGGGTAGTATAAATATAATATAAAAAAAATGCATTAATGGCAATGGCAAAAAAAATCTAGGAATCAAAAATTTCAAGGAAAAATAACTTAAAAATAAAAAACTATTGAGAAAAAAACATTATTAAAAAGAAAATATTATTAAACATGACATAAAAAAATTCTATCTTTTAACAAAGTAGAGAAATCATTTTGCTGATAAGTTTAAATTGAATATTATGATGTAAATGATTATTTATTTTTTAATAAAGTCAGAGTTTTAACATTAATGGGGGGGGGGTTGGTCGGGTGTAAAATAATGAAATGGAAATACAATAAAACAACAAGGTTAACTTTATGTAAACGAGAAGATAAGATGCGATGGACAAGAGTTATATATTTAATTATATATGTTCTAGATGGTCAGCGTGATAAAGAGACTTTCAATTTATTTATAATACACATTAACACCAACAGAATATACTTATTTAATATACACATTTAATAAAAGCAGCTCTTGCCCTGCCTCATGAAGTAATTAAATAATTAAATATATGTGCAATTTTCGGGTATAGGCTTTCTCTTTGCCCAAATTTTTTTATCTCACCCTATAGACGCTAAATGACAGATTTTCGGACTGTTATACGCAAAAATACATATGGCTTGCTCATAAAATTGTAGTGGGGGCTACTTATTTTTAATTTTTCACTCAACATAACTTTTTCTAGTCAGATATAAATGAGTAATAAGCGCAGCTCTGTTGAACAAAGCACTCCAAACTACGTCAGGAATATTAGTATATCTAAAATAAGTATAGAGAATAAATGGACAATACTAACCTCTTTTACTCATGGGGATAAAATTTATTTAAAAAAACTTTTTATTGAAAAATTGTTTTTTAATAATGGTTTCTTTTACTTATTATAACCAAAAATTCTCTTTTTAAAATTCAGATTATAATTAATTAAAAATTGTATTATAAATATTGATGGTTATGAAGGCCGTTTCTACTTTAAGATAGTATTTTTTGTTGCATGCTTTATTACATTATCTTTTTAATAATAGAGAAAGAAAGAAAGTTTTATCCACAGTTATATATTTTTAAGTTTTTTTATTGCTTAAAGTTTTTTTTTGCGCAATTTTTTATTCCTAAGTGTTTTCCCCCAGGATATAATAGTACAAGAATGGGAGGGGCTGTGGATAATATGGCTAATTCTAGTATTTTATATAATCACGTTTTTATTGGAGGGAAATAATTAGCCACATATTTTTTCCACCTTATCTGTATCATTCATTCACTATAATGATAATTAGTCACTCTTATTAGAATAGGACTGCTAGAGAAAATAAATGGTAAGTTATAAATTATGGGGAAACAAAATTATATAACTATAGCGCTTTCGTCTTCTTTCCTTATATGATTGGCGATAAAGGTAACATTTTTGGCCACGCTTTGTATCATTCTCTCCCGTAATTCGCAGTCTAATGCTCTTGAATGCGATTGGTCCTTTCTATCTCCGTATTTTCCTTTTTCCTTGTGTTCTATTTTATTGCTGTTACTGCTCGTACTATTTGAGTCATTGGTGGAAATGTCGAAAGAAATTTTTTGTCTTTTGATCTCTTTATTTTGTTGATGATATAAAGAATCCTCAGCTGATTCGGTCGAAGATTTTAGCACCATATCCTTTTTCCTTCTTCTGGTTGGTTGAACTGGTTCCCCAGGTGCGTTTCCCTATTTGACCATAAATCAAAGTATATTAATAGTTATATTAATATAATGCATGCAAATGATCTAGGGATATAGACATAAAATTACCCATTGTGTGCTTCGTATTGATTTGATCATACTTTAAAGGTGATGGGATTCTATTAAACTTGATAACAATTTTATATGGATTCCTTATAAATATTTATATAATCAGAGCCCTGATAGAAGTAGTGGTTATATTTTTATCATGCCACCAGAACTGGAGGGTTAGTAATTTATATTTAACGGGTCAAGATTTAATAAAATTTTCTTGGTAAAAAATATTAAATATTGCCACCTGAGAATTAGGTTATTCCCATTCATTGATTTATATTAACATAAACTGCTCAACGATTAAAAATAATATTAAAAAATATATGTTATAAAAAATTATGTCAACTCACCACATGTTGATGTCGGCTAAAATACGGCGCACAAACGATTTTTAAAACTGCTCCTACCGGTAGTTTCGTTTATTCATAGGCAGGGATGTGAACCCTTCGACAAACAAAAAAAAGGTTCCAGGTCAGGGTTCAGGAATAAAAATTTTAAAAAGGGTTCAGGTCCTTGTCCAGGGTTTGGAGATCATAAAGAAATACTGACTGAAAATTAGAGGATTTATTATTTTTATTATTTACTATACTCCTTATAAATAATAGACATGCATAATTCACAAGTAAATTTAAAATGTCTTATTTAATAGCGTAGCCCTATATATCATTTATAATAAAAATAATTACCTACATTACAAAACATAAGCATAGGGAATTAAATTATTTACAGCGTTCATAAGAAAACGAAATTCGCATTATATACTAATCAAACTTTTCGTATATTCTTCTTCTAACAGAACAGATAAGATCCCAACTTAATGACCTACTTTTTTGGTATATTTAAATCTCATATTATTTATGAATTTAGAAATATAACATGTTTTAAAAAGATATGATATATAAAAATTTATATTTTTATGAATCGTAGCGAGTTTATAATATCTATTAAACTGTTTTTAGAATAATAATATGTTAAAATATTTGATTTATATAACGCAGGTCATTTGACAGTTATCTATACATTCATACATTTACTTACTATATTTTAACTTATTCTAGTGTCGAAGCGTTATGTTTACTACTAGGGAAGCTATTATTTTTATTAATCAAACCATACAAAATATTTAGATTTATAAGAGCGGAATTAGTTTTTGAGTAAAATTCTTAAAGTTTTTAGATTTTAAACTTTTTAACAATTTTTTTTATGGAGATAGATTGGATAATCGATAAAATTTTATTTTTAAATATTAAAATCCCGACGAAGAACTTTTGGCTGTTGAAGCCAAAGTTAGGTTAAAAAGTTTTGATTTCTTTTTCAAATTCTGTAAAATTGATGTTGATCTTTTTTTGAAAATCAATTACTTGATAATTTATATCAAATTTCAGCAAAAAAGAAGAAATTTTTTATTTAAAGAAAAGGTAAAATTAAAATATAAAAATTTTTCTTTCATTTTTATTTATTTAAAATAAAAAAGCAATTTTATATTAGCTTCCCCAACACCTATTTTGCATGATTTTCTTTTTATTTATTACAAAAAAAAAATTAATTTAAATTTACTTTTCTCATTAATTTGTTAAGTTAGTAAAATATTAATAATGCAATAAAATAATAACCTACTAAAAGGGTTGGCTAGTCGGTCAATTGACCGACGACATGTCAATTGAGGAGTATTTGATCTAGTCAAATATGGTCAAATAAAAAATCTGAAAAATTATTATGTTTGAAAAAAGAAAAAACGATATAAATACATGTGATCAATGCTGCTTATTTATTGAGTCCCCCAAAAAGGGGAGCATCTCATTAGAAGCGAATTTAATGAAGTATGTGATATAATACAAGAATTAGACGTTTTACAAGGTGGTGATGATCAAAATATTTCAAGTGTTAAACTTATAACTTAAAAGCGCCATGTTTAAGAGCAAAATATGTGGAAAGCTGTAACTTCTATAAGTAAGTATCAGATTTCGGCCTCAAGTTAGTAAAATGGAATTTGCTCAACCTGTCATTTAATAGAAATGACATTTTATGAGTAATTCCTATTTCTACTTCTTCAGTAATAATTTATCATTTGGGTTAGTAATCTTACTAAAGCAGAAATTGATTGAAGATCTCGACAACAGGAAAATTGATTAAGAAATATTAAAGAGAATGATAATATTGAATTTGAATAAGAACAATACTCTGCCACGGAAAAATATTATTGAATGACAATGAATTAAAAAAAATATCATAAAATTAATATTATTTACTATTATATACGAAATATGAGTATTATTTTCTTAAAAACATTTATTTGAATTTGACCATATTTACCCACCAAATATCAGTAGACTGAATCAGAGACCAGTCAAATACGCAATTCTGGAAGATAGTAATGATTTTTTTTAATGCAGCATGAAGATTATATTAATTTTAATTAAAAATTTCTAAGAAAATATGCTTCCCTTGCTTCTATATAATATAATATTCAGATGAATTGTAAATTAACCTCGAGAATATTATCTTTATATTTTTATATACCATTGGCGTACGCAGTGGGGGGGGGGCAGGGGAACATATCCCCCCCCCCTCCCAAAGCCAAAAAATGCAGATGCCGGATATATTTTTCAAAAATATTATTGTTTATATTAATTTATATTTGTTAATATTTATTCATATCTCATATTAAATATATAATTAATTACATTTAATCACATTTATCTACTAAGTTATTTTATCAATTAATTTCTATTTCAAGTTTTCCGGCGTAATATTTATTTATTATTTTCAAATTTTTTGTGGCGTAATATTTATCTACCATTTTCAAATTTCTAGTCAAATAATAATTATTTCTGAAACTTCTTGTCCAAAAGGGAAAAAGAAATTGCAACCTTGTCTAACGAGATAGAGTCTCCGCCATCAAACAGTAACAGCTTTTAAGGAGTTAGAAGAGCTTATATTTGCTATTACTGAAATATCACAATGGTCTGTAAGAAATATTTCCTCAGAAGCAAGAAAATTATTGGATTCAATGCTTATTCCAAATTTTATTTCTCATTAGAATGTATTATTTAATTATATAACTATTTTAAGTAATACTTTTCAAAACATGACATTGACTTGATTAAGAAGATGAGAATAGCGGAGAGCATATTATCAGAACTCAAGGAAATTAAGACTAATGTTGATGAAGGATTTCATATTTTATATTTTATTGTTGAGTCAAAAGCAGGGCTATACATGTTTAATATTTGTCTCCCTCGACTTGTAGCAAGGCAAGCTCATCGTTAAAACATTAATATATGATGAGTAGAAGAGTATATCTTAAATATACTTACATTTATAACCCAAATAAATGAATTTTTAATTCATCATGCAGCACTTACTAATCTGCAAATATTACTTCCACAAAAGCCTTCTCAACCTTTTTCAGATGGTGGAAAAAAATATATTTGTTAGATTTTTATTATGAAGATGTTAAAGTATCTTATGATGCCTTACTAGCTGAATAACTATGTTTATAAGATTAACTATAGTTGATATAGTCGCAAAAATGCTCTGCATTATTTCAAACACATTTTAGATTAAATTCCCAATGTATTAAAGGGTTTATAAACTCTTCCCATTAGTAAACTAATGAGAGAACATTCTCTTTTTTAAGAAGAATAACAGAGGCCTGCAGAAGTACCATTTGCAAGGCACGGCCCGTATTTTTTTAAAGATTATTTACAGCCCGGCCTGGGTTTTTTTCAAAAATTTTCAGGCCCGGTCCGGCTTTTTTTAGAAAATTTTTTAAGCCCGTCTCGGCTTTTTTTAAAAAACTTTTTGGCCCGACTCGGCTTTTTTAAAAAAATTTTCAGACCTGGCCCGGCTTTTTTAAAAATAAATTATATTTATTTTTGATTTTTATAGCTAATAATAACGATATCAAATATAGACTGTTTTAAAAAATACAGCCCGGATTGGGTGTTTTTTAAAAATAATTCAGGCCCGGCTTGGGCTTTTTTAAAAAAATTTCGGGCCCGGCCCTGGTATATTTAAAAAATTAAAATACTGACCGGCCCGGGGGCCGGGCCTGCAGGTCTCTGAAAAACATACCAAGAAGTACAACATCTGAAAGTAGATTCAAAGGTTTGGATCTTTTTAATATTCATAGGCATTTGACGACATGCAAGGATGAGATAATTGAAAAATTAGCTCAATCACAACGAAGATTGAATTTTACATTGTAAATATATAACATACAAAATGCAATTATTCCTTAAGAAACCTTTTTGTGTAAAGGCTCAAAAAATTCAAATTTCTATTTTGGGTCATTTAAGTGATTCTTTACATATAATTTTTTTATAATCACATTAAAAAATTGTGTATTAGAAATAGTTATTAGTCCTAATAAATTTATTCTTGATATTTTTAAAAACAATAATATTTATTAAAGAAAATATATGTAAGGCAAACGTGAATTTGCCGGTTTAAGATAAGGCTTGTGATAATTACCCATCACCTATACCAAAAAACCATATTTAAAGAACATCAAACAAGTGCCGATTGTAATATTATGAGTAGATTTTGATAATTTTTATATTCCTTAAATTCTAAGCTAAAATATAAGTTATTGGATTTATTTTATATGCTAATCTAGAAGTCAAGCAATAATGATTTGTATAATAGACATCTCCTTGTAGTTAGGTGGCTATGGGTAAAGTTTTACAATGTTTATTCTTGAGTTATTAATGAATATTCCATATAACAAAATTATTTAAAATGTAACAACTTTGACAATTAATTTAGTTTTGTTGAACGGATCGACCAGTTTGATTTAAAAACTGCTAACTCAATATTTTAATCATAAAAGTTTTATGCACGCCTCATGATTTTGCTCATAGATAGCACAAAGGTTTGATTATATATTAGCGAAATCTCGAGGCTTATGCAATATTTTTCTGAGTTTAATACTGAGTTAGCTGTTTTACACTAGCTTGGACATCTATATTTGCTTCCCAATATTTATATAGGGTAAAATAAAAATAACAATATTTTTATATTTGGGGCAAAGCAAAATGATTGGTTAAATAAAGATGCTAAATGTAAATTATTTAGATATTTTTATTTGATTACTGAATTAAACTACTCGAGTTCATAATAAAAAATCAAGGTTTTTAAGATAAAAATGTCATTTATAAAGAGATTTATAAAGAAAAACTGTAATTTTTACCAAAGAATTAGTTAGGTGAGCCTTCCCACATTAATATTTTTTTTTAATTTCTATAAAAAATGAATAGAAAAATGAATGATTATTTCTTAATTTAAGAATTATGAACTAATCATCCAACGAGTTCATAATCGTGAATTATAGTTGACTAAATTGGCTAACGACTACCGACTCTGAGTCGAATGAACTCAACTATTTAACAACACTACATATGATAATGAAGACCTGATGTTTCAAAGAAGGCGCCCAAAAGAATGATGTTTTAATTCATTAACAATTTGAAAATTGACCAGTAAATGTTAATATAAGCCTATGGTTATTCCATGTCTACCTTTTGTCAAAAATGTCCTTTTTTAAAAAAAATAAATCAATTTTTTTATAATTATATAATAATTTATTTACATTAGAAAATTTGAAATATTTCTAAAATAAGTTTAATGATAACAATATAGGGTGTTATACCATAATATTGAATATATATAGAAACTTCATAATTAAAAGTGCTCTCCTGTAAAATTACAAAAAGTGGAGATGGAATAATCTAATTTTCAGACGACGATATATAGCAAAATTTCTAATAATTATTGCGGGCTCAGAATCCCGCTCGTAAAATAATATGATTTGAAATATTCAGGTCAGAATTGCTTATCCGGGTCGGGCCAGAAAACCCCGACCTATCTAAATTTTTTATAATCAAATTTTATCAATTAACTAGTTGTAAACTCATGTAATTTGATCATCTTAAGAATGATTTGTCTCACATTTTCAATTTCCATTTAAAATGTACTGCCTAAATAAAAATGTTCAAAATTTTAAATAATCAAGGCCGATTAGGGTTATTAACATATGGTATTGGGATATGGAATCCAAGGGAATTTGGAATCTTTTGATTTTGAATCGTTTACTAAGGGTCATTTTTAAATCTTAAAAATCTGATTTGACAGGAATTGTATTTCAAAATGTATAGAGTACTCAAACTGTAGATTTTAACAATTTTGCTATGAACTTTAGAACTACTCCTAATTTATATTAAATTTTTATATGGATTTTTCATATAAATTAAAAAAATACTAAAATGTCTATGGCGGAAATTGGCTGAAATTTATAGGATAGATACTCTACATATGCTAAATACATTTCCGGTTAAATCGGATTTAAAAATATTTTTAAATCGCCCTCGGTAAGAGATTTAAGATCGAGAGATTCCGAATGACATGGATTTCACATCCTAAAACGATGTATATAATTTTTTAATTTCCAGCCTTAGAACTAGATATTTTCTTTTTAAATTACGAGAATCAATATGTAAATTTTTCCTTCGAAATTTAAAAATAAAAGAAAAATTTTTGCAAAAATATTTTGGCATAAATTTAAGAGGATATAAAAAAACAGGTCAAAAATAGTCTACACGTTAATCGTAATAAATTAACGAGTTTAAAATCTCCGATGTGCTCAAAAACCCCACCTCGTCACTACATAGCGGAACTCGAAGAGCGTAAGCCGAGTTGACTAGAACTTTTTTCTTTACAAGCTTGATTTTATTCTCGCTATGATTCTTTATTCGTATTACAAATAAAGAAGATCATATAGAGAAGAAGAAAAATTGTAATATTATTAAATATAATATCAAAACAATAACTTCACGCATCGGAATGGCAGCGTCAAATTGACCTTGTAGATAACGGTTTCCGATATTTTGAGCGGATAACATCTCTCTTTCTTTTTCACGTTTGCGCGTCATTTGCAACTTTATGAGGTAATCATCATCTATAATACCTCCTTCATCGTACTTAAAACTCCTTAAATTTTTATCGCTGCCTCTAAATATGTTTTTCTGGGAATCCGCTTTAAGTTTTGTAGGGGTGAATTTAGGTGGCGGATAAATATTATCCTTTGCTTGTTTTATATTAGTTTCGGATTTTCGCAAAGTATGAGTTAATTGAATTCTAAAATTCGCTGACGGGTCGTTTTGAGAAATAACACACCGCTCCTTAAAAGATACCACTGAATGCGTCGATGGTGTTATACCATCTTGTGTATTGATATAAGATTTATTTGAGCAGTTATCTGAATATGAAAGAGTATAGATAATTTTAGCGATAATTAAAATAGTATGCCTAGTGAAATTATATTGGCTTTCAATTCTGAATTTATTATGGTATGTGAGACTGTTAAAAACCTTGATTTAGACATTTTTATAAAAAAACGGCGAAATCAAAATTTTTAGCAAAACGAATATTACCTACACCTCGAGATTTGTCCGAAAGAGGGCCAAAATTTTCTGCCATGATTAGGCGAAAACTCGGGGCTTAGGTAATATTATGTTTAGCTAAAATCTTGATTTACCTTTAAAGGATAAATAGAGATTTTTAACATCATTATATGCATGAAATATATTAATCATACTAATTTTTAATTAATTTTTATCATCCTAAAAATTAAAAATAAGTTAAATCTAATTTCCTATTAGGCATATTTTTCTTAAACTTTACATTCGTTTTTTTAAAAATTTAATATTCCATTTTTTCCCCCTCATTTAAAAATATTTTATAAAATTAAATTTTCGAATTGAATATTCCACGAATCTAATTGAATAATGGTTTTATTATTCGTATAAATTCGAAGTGTTTAATTCAAATACAAATAATTTAATTATTCGACTCGTATTTATATAGAACTAATTGGCAAAAAGTGAGGGGAAAAGGTTTATTATCAGTTAAATAAAGGGAAACCCAGTTGTGTAATTTATGGATTTTTACTTTTATCGTGGTAAACCATTTCTCTTTGCTGCCTACTAGCCCTCATCATTTGTAACTTTTGATTGGTGGGTCTCTCATCATGCACTAAAGCGTAATTCAAATAATTGCGATCGGCTTCTACAGATGAGGAGCAGATATTGGAGGAATGGCTTCTCTCAAATTTGTCGTATATAGTTATTTGAGATTCACTTTTAATCCCTTTCTTTATTTGGGGCAATGTGGAAGGCATCGAAGGGGAATACGGTTTAATAATTTCTTTCGCATAAGATCGTTTAGCACTCTTGCGTCTTCCTGGCCACCAAAAAGTTAAAGAAAACTTCTTACAACACCCCTTAATATCTCCTTCATCGATTATATTTTCTTGAGATATCGATGTTGCCGCATTAAACCGGGAAGAAGATAGGGATTTGAGAAGATTTTTAGATTGGGAAGGTCTTAGCATAGTTGGTCTCTTCATTCCTACGTACTTGGGCAGGCACTCCACGAATAAGGAGCGAATGAAGGAAGGGATTGGTTGAATACTGCCTTCCCTGAAGTTCCAATTTACTATGATAAGTGTAAATAGGACACAAATTAAATTTACTATAAAAGTGAATAGGAGGTATATAGATATCAGAGGAATGCACACGGATGTAGGAGGCAAGATTTTAGCTACGACTAATTGAAACAGCACAATGGCTAGGAGGATTGAAATACCCAATGTTATCTTTTCGTTGCCATCTGGTGGTAAGTAAAATACCATGACACTCATGAAGGACATCATGATACACGGGGCAAGCAGATTAACGGTGTAGAATAGAGATTTACGGCGAATGTGTAAGTGAAAAGTTATATCCGTTTTTGTGGGCCTCTCTCGGCCCAAGCTTCTAAATACGAAATATTTGAGTGATATAAATGAGTACTAAATATACGCGTAAATTTTTTTAAATTATATAAAATATACAAATCAATTAAAATACAAAGTTACACCACTATACTGCGTTTATTCAAATAGGGTTTCAAATTTTTATTGCCATTTCTCTGTTTTCTAATTTATTTAAACTAAATAATCAATCATAGATTGCTATATTATCGATTTTATCAACCCCCCCCCCCCCAACCCTCCCCAACTTCTCAACTAAGAATGTTTTAACATATTTAATTATGGTATAATAGTTTATTTTAGAATAATATTGAAAATTTTTACACCTCACCTATTACGAACATTCAATGAGCCTTGAACGTTGATAATATCCCAAGTGCCACTGATTGAATAATCGTTGAGATCTACGTAATCCTTATCATCGTAAAAGGCCAGCCCGACCTCATCCCCATTGAATGTCCATGAACCGAATTTCATATCACAAAATTGTTGATCGAAGGGGAAATACCTTACGTCCATTATACAAGTAGATTTGTATATGGAAGGTGGCACCCATAACACTTGACCATCGTGGTGTAGAACTAAGTTGCATTTGGTACTTACTTCGTATTTGCCGTCGGCACTGGAGAAAGGAAACGAAAAATAAATTTTTGACGAATAAAATTGTGAACATGAAAAACAACAAGTCATGGCTTTGTGAAAGAAAGAAAAAAAATTATGAGGGGTAAACTAAGCATTTAAAATTATGTATATAGTTAGCATTTTCAAAAAATATCAAGACAAGCATTCCATTTCCTGTTTCACCCCCTACCCAAAATATTTGTTAATCTCCAACCCCCCCCTCCCCCCCCCCTTCCTGAGAGACATATTGAGGCAGATTGCTTCTCTCTTCCCGATGTATACACTTGTATTTTAGTAATATGTATTATGAGTATTCACATGACAAAAATGATTTGAATAAAAGAAGAAAAGGAAATTAAGATAATAGCATAATAACTTGTTAAATAATACGATATCCGGTGTCCATATCTTGTGGTAAGAAATTCTAATGTTTTTTATATTACCATAATCGCTCGGATCCCAAATGAGTTGATAATCGTACCATATCTTATAAATAAATTAAATATCCATTTAGGTTATCGTGTAAATGTTATATTTGTAAATATGCTAATATAGGAAGGAAAAAACTATATCCTCGTGGAAAAGTGTATAGAAAATGTTAAAGTGGGCAATTTATCTCGAAAATCATTTTTTTTTATTTAGCAACAAAATCTAATCAATTTTCGCTACAAAAAATTTTTTAGTGCGAATTTTAAAAAAATTTGTTAATTACTTGTTAGTAGTGTTAAACGGCTTGGTCAATTTTAAAAAAATGGCCCGATCAAGAATTTAGCCAAAATAATATTAAGCCAGGAGATTTTGCTCTTATATCGCAGAAAGGTTAGGACCAATATTTGTTAAATCTCCAGGTTTGCATAATATTATTTTGGCTAAAAAAATAATTCGGCCATTTTTAAAAATCGGCCCAAACCAGGCTGTTTAACAATACAACTTCCTAGGGATCGTATCTAAATTTTATATTTTACTACAATATAATAAATAATAATTATATTTTACCAATCTAAGCCATACGTTTGTCTTCAGAACCTGTTCCAATTCGTTCTTTTTAAAAGTTAAATATAAAATAAATAACATATTGTTATATTTTCTTCTTCTTTAGATTTAAGAATGTGGTCAAATAAAAACTACTTTTTTTTATGAGACCAGAGAGCGGCATTTAATATTTTTTATTTCTAAAATAAATATTAATGTCCTCGTGCTAAAAAAGAAAAAAGAATAGTCAAAACGCTTTGATCAGAACTCTCTAGCCCTCATCATAGTTGATGTCTTTTTGTAACTGTAAATACAGGGTAACAGTGGGTACAAAAAGATTTTTACATCTCTAAATTTTTTTTTTAAGAATTCTCAAAGAAAATTATTGATAAAATTTTAACATTTTTTTATATACAAACCTTTTGTGATTTTTATGCATTAAAAAAAATTTTTCCATGAGGAAACTTCTTGAAAAAATCTTTCTAACTTTAATTCATAGTCAATAATCCATTAAATAAATCATTCCATATCTTAGTCAGGTAGGGGGGAGTTTAAAGGTCATAGAGGGCTCTAGCGTTGATCAAATGTTAATTAATTTAAAAGGTAGTAATGTTAAAAAGCCAGATTTGGGTCCATTTTAAAAATGGCCAGATTAAGATTTTAGCCAAAATCATATAATGTAAGCCTAGAGATTTGGTAAATATACTCACCTTCCTGTCAACTATGAGCAAAATCTCCAGGCTCACATAAAATTGTTTTGATTGTAATTTTAATCTGGCCGTTTTAAAAATAGCTCCGAATCGGGCCTTTTAAATAACGCTATGACGGACTCAACTAAATTGAAGAGTTATGAGCAACGATAACTTTCGAAGCCATTGTTAAAACTTTTCTAAACAAATAAAATGCCAAATATGCTTCTTGTATGTTGGATATAAAATCCATGGGATTCCGGAATTTCCCAATCTCGAATTATACTTGGGGCGATTTTCAATTGGCCGATAAAATATTTTTGTAATTTCAAAAAAAATAATAATTTATATAGAAAATCTAAAAGAAATATGAGTTGAAAGAAGTAGTACAAGGTTTTACACCTAAAATTATTATCTGAAATACTCAGTGTGTGTCTAGTGATGTTAAACACCCCGATTCAGTTCGATTTTTAATAACGGCTCTTTAAGATTTTTATTAAAATAATATTATGTAAGCTTGAAGATTTTGCTCATAGGTGACAGAAAGGTTTTGGATCTCTATTTGCCAACTTCTAGGCTACCTGGACAAAATCTTAATCGGGCCGTTTAACAACATTCGTGTGTACTCTATACCGGTAAAGGATTTTCAAATTTAAAAATCACTCCTAATAAATAAATTTAAAATTGAGAGATTCAGAGTTAATTTAGATTGCATATCTCGTTATACTCCGTATAACTATACACTCCTCTCGTTTTAAACTTCCGACCTGCCGAAAAAATAAGTCAAATTTGTGGCTCTTAAAATCGGTCAAACTAGTATAAAATAAGAAATAAAAATTAGTCATCACCCTGTTAAATGTTGGTTTAGTCCTAAGTATATCAATTGACAAGAAATAAAAATTATACTATATAAGCAATAACACTCAGCAAAATTATATAAAAATTATACTATATAAGCAATAACACTCAGCAAAATTATATAAAAATTATATATCAATTTTATCAAATTATAAAAATCTATTTCTTCTTAAATCGTCTAACTTTTATAAAATCCAATAGGGCTTAGCCTAGAATTTAACCTAAAAAAGTTATTTAATAAACCTTGAAGTTGAGCCTGAATTTAAATATTGAGATAAAATATTTAAGGATTGGCAATGCCGTTTTAGAATTGGCCAAATTTAGGTGATTTAACGTATGATATTTAAAATAATTCCTGGATTGGCTTTGACTGATCCGACCGGATGTGTCCCAATCATTTTATATGGATTTGTTTTTTTTAAATCAAGGCTTTGAAGGCTGTTAGATTTTTTTTAAACTATACAAAAATATTATCTAAAAAAATTAATTCAAAAAAATTTATAAAAAAAATATAAATCTATAGCTAAGCCAGAGCAATATATTATAAAGAATATATAGAAATTTATATTATAATGGGTTTTTCTTTCTTTCTTTCCTTCTTTCTTTCTTTCTTTCTTTCTTTCTTTCTTTCTTTCTTTCTTTCTTTCTTTCTTTCTTTCTTTCTTTCTTTCTTTCTTTCTTTCTTTCTTTCCTTTCCTTTCCTTTCCTTTCCTTTCCTTTCCTTTCCTTTCCTTTCCTTTCCTTTCCTTTCCTTTCCTTTCCTTTCCTTTCCTTTCCTTTCCTTTCCTTTCCTTTCCTTTCCTTTCCTTTCCTTTCCTTTCCTTTCCTTTCCTTTCCTTTCCTTTCCTTTCCTTTCCTTTCCTTTCCTTTCCTTTCCTTTCCTTTCCTTTCCTTTCCTTTCCTTTCATTCCTTTCCTTCCTTCCTACATTATTTCTTTTTTTTGATTTGATAACCAATTGGGATTTTATTATTTTTCTTTTATCTATAACTTTCTTTCATGTGGTTTTTAAAATAAATCACCTTCAGGTCTCCTCATAAATATTTATGACTATTAATCTAAAAAATATTTTATTTCTTAAAAGCATAATATTTTTCCTTTTTTCTTTTTCATTTATAATACACAATTGTAAAAATCGGTTTAAAAAAAATTAGGCTTTCCATTTTATTATTCGTGCGCATTCATTTAGTTTACGTCTTCTTGGCTAGTTTTGTTAAACGGCTCGAACGCCTGGAGATTATATTCATAAGATGGCGGAAAGGTTTGGGCATCTTTTAACGAAATCTCGAGGCTTGCGTAATATTATTTTAGTTTAGCAGGTGGCAAAAGAAAAATAATTGCGTGATTTCTTTTCGCAATTGATTGCCAGTACGTTGTTGTTTAACGGCTTAATTTGAGCCGATTTTCAAAAAAGACTTAACTCAATGTTTTATCCACAATAATATTACGCAAGCCTGAAAGTTTTAGTCATAGATGGAACAAAGGTTTGGACATCTATTAGTGACGGTGTTTTCAATTTTTCTGGCGGAAAGATTGAATTAGCCGTTTTTAAACATTGGCCCAAATCGAGCCGTTTAACATCACTACTAGGACGTATTATATGGATAATGCAAAACAAGGAATGCACTTTAAATAATTTTTATTGGACGAGAGATATCTGAACCTGTGCCTATTTTTTTTTATAGCCTGATACGTCCAAAGGGGATTAACTTTTCGTAAGCAATGATGAATTGTGATGAAAAGTTTCCCGGTGCAAACGAAAAACAAATCAGCTTAAGAAGGTGGTAAAACCCATTGAAATTAGGTATAAATCAGGTGATTGAAAGGCTTTCGATTTTGAGCCCTAAGCATTCATTCTAAAGAAAGATGCATTATTGGTTTTTTTTAAAATCTACTCACGACGTTGATCAGTTGAATGAGTGCCATTCCAAATTTAACAATCATGTGATCAGTTTTATTCATGACAGGTCTAATCAATTTATTGTAGCTTCGAAAAAGATCCTTGACTAATCTCTCTTCGTCCTCTGATGATCGTACTTAATGAATATAAAAAATAAAAATTAGAATTTTTGTTAAACTATAGAAAGGGAGTAAAGATGGGGGTGGGTGGAGAATAGAGAGGAAGAAAAGCAAGGGAAGGAAAGTAAAGGGAAAAAAATAAATAAAATCTTAAATAGTCATTATATTAATCTTTTAATTCGAATTTTAAAATTTAAAATAAAAGCTACGACATCTGTTCTATTTAATTAATCTAATTTAAATTATCATGGTCTAACTCTTTATTTTTTTTCAAATCCCAGATATTAGAGTATTTTTTTTTAGAAAAGAATCTTTTAAAAGTCGAGATCTTAATATCAAATACAAGAATACTATTTTTTATTAAAGAAACCTCACCCACGAGATCTAGATATGATTTTAGTTTTTTTAATAAAAAAGGAAGATTCCACGGTATCGGTGAATTTTTCAATTAACACATAATTCTAATTTATTATATTGGACCCTGTTAATGTTTAAAAAAAAAAATTCAGCCCTCACCAGATTAGCACTTTATTTTTCTTATTACTGGTCAGCCGGTTTCTTATGTATTTTCTTCCTAATCTCTTCTATTTCCCTTTTTTTCCATTTAAATTTACTTTTCCTTCTTTTCTTGTTATTCTTATTATCATTCCCTACAAGATTAGTTAACTAAACAAACAATAAAATATGAGATCGAACTAAATCATTTCATTTCCATTTATCCACCACATATATCAATTTCTGATCTTGTTGTTTTTATTTAAAACCAAACGATTTTTAAAACATAAAATTCAAAGAAAGAAATATTATAAAAAACAATTGTTAAATTTTACAAACATATGATATTTCTCCTCCTGTGTTGTGTTCTTTAAGCGTGAAATTTTTACGTGTTTCAAATAGTTAATAAATAATTGGAAAAACACGAATCTTATTTCAAGCTCAGACGATAAAATATTACAACTTTGACCCCAAATATATATTTTTAAAATAATAACTCGAATCATAGTCCCCCCCCCCCCAATTCTCCTAAATTGTCTGTCTGTTAGGATATTCCCAACTATCTGTATAAATGGATTAAAAAACACAAAAATTCCTGTCGGATTTTTTTAAAAAAAGAAGAATTTCGGCCCGACCCAGGTTTTATATTTTTAGGTCTTGTCCGGATTTTTTTTAAAAAATTTATATTTTGTTAGTTTTATTTATATAATAATGGCGATTTAAAATTATTGGTTTTAACGGCCCGGGATTAAAAAAAAAATTTTTTCTAGGCCTGGCCCGGGTATGATTAAAAAAAATTGAAATACAGCCGCCCGTTTATCCGGACATGTCTTAGAAGTCTCTGATTTACATAAATAGTAAACATTTTATTTATATTTTCAAAACCTCCCAAATAGTTATAGACCCGCAACTCGTCCCAAGCTAAAAAATCCCGGAACAAGGTTATTAAAATTTCTTTGGGATTAGGAGACAGCTGTACTTATTTTTGATATTGGCTAAACAACTTATGAATTAAGAGAGCCTGTTTTTTGTTTCTCTATATATCCGGCTAAACAGTCAGCTGTTTAATAATATGTCGAACCAAGACACACCCTTAGTTATTTTTTAAAAAATTTTTTTTAATTAAACTTTAAAAAATGTGTTTCAATTTATATATCAGAGACCTACTGAGGTACCCTTTGCACGGCCTAGAATGGTTTGGGTTTTATATTTTCAGGTCCAGCTCGGCCCGGCCCGGATGTTTTTAAAAATATATTGTATTTATTTTCAATTTTTATAGCTAATAATGGCGATTTAAAATATTTGGTTTTAAAATATATGGCCAAGCCCGTCCCAGGTATTTTTTTTAAAAATATTTTCGGCTCGGTCCGAAGTCTCTGATATATATTTTTTTAAATTAAAATTTTCCGGCCATAATCTGGCTCGGTCCTAAGGGCAAACAAAAATTCGAGCCGTACTTAAGAATTATGTTATTTCATTTATGGATCACCACCCCCCGGTTATAATAGACCCATTAAGATTTTTTTTTAAAAAGAAAGATTTTACGAATTTTAGGCCAGGCAGCGCAGATCTATTCTCTACTCTAATTAAAAAAGACAGGCTAAAATGTAACTTTTCAACAATAACATTTTCATATTATTTTACTTTAATTATCAAATACCTTCAAAAATATTGTTAGCGATCCACATTAAGAATAAAATTCTCCGATAAGTATCCAAAAAAATGTACATATTTTCATCGGTATTTTTCTTCTTGTTACCCCTTTTTTTTTCTCCTTTTAAAAATCAATTAGATTATTTTTTATCGATCGGTCTATTTTTGTGGCACGAGGAGAATAAAAACGCCAAAAATGAGTTTATAATTCGTTTTCGATAAAGTTATTTTATTTTTTTTAAATTATACGTTGGCTTAATTGTTGTCCCCGCATAATTATCTGTTTTTTTTACAGAATTAGTTTTTATTGATTTATATTTGATTGTTTTTTTTACTCCTCTTCAATGATAGATTTTTGTATAGACGATTTTATCGTGCAGACTTGAACTGAATTCTTCTTTTTGGTGAAAAAAATTAATGAATAATTCCTCCAGGAAATACGAAATTGGTTAAAAGCTGACAATAGGAATGTTTTTTCTTCTTTTGTTTCAAAAAAAAAAATTATTTTGCCATTTATTGGGTCGACATTCCTGATCTAATTCTTCTTCTTTGATCTTTTCTATGAAATATCATTTCCATGGGAATTATATATTAATAATTTTTTTTTAAAAAATAAATATATAAATATAAAATAATTTGAAAGAAAAGTAAGAAAAAGAATGATTATTTATTGTTATATTTTAAAATTGGAAATAAAAAACCTCCACAAAGTGACCACAAAAAGTCATTGTTGGTGCCAAAGTAAATCAATTTTTTTTTAAAACACATGTTTTTATTTCGATATATAGCATATTACCGAAATTCATTTTCATTAATTATTATTTTTTATTAGGTCGGTTCCTTTAAAACCAAATAACACTAAAAACCGCAACTATATATAAAATAATAAACTGTTAAGAAACGAATGGAATAGGCGTTTTCTTCATTTGGCAATGATAAAAAGTTATCCAATTTTTTTTGAATAAGGAAGGTAGCTTTCAAACCTTTTGATCTAATAAGAGAAAATTTTAGTCCTTTCTGAAACCAAAGTATACCTTCTGAGCTGAAAGTCCTTCAAATATTTTTCTTAAAAGCACAGTCAGGCCCTATTTTTTAAATACATTCTAAGCTCTCAGGCGAGGATTCGGGCTGACACAGCTCTGTGTCGAGAATGCTTCACCATATGTTTTTTTGGCATTATTAAAGTAATGCTTAAAAAAAATTGTAAAAAAAATGGGATGAGTTCTGATTTTCGGAAGCCACCATTCATTTTATTTTTTTAAAAAAAATATATATATAAATATATTGTATTAGGCTGGGTAATATTGGGCAGCAATTTCTTTTATTCATTTATTTTATATATTTTTTCAAAAATCAATAATATAGTATATTATCGAATTTTCGGACTAAGCTTTTAATTCGTCAGTAATTAAATCAAGTTTTGTTAAAAAAAAATTAATATAATTATAAAATATTGGAAAATAAAAAAAACTCTTATTTTGCTAAAAAAATAATATAAAATAAGAATTCTATTATCATTTAATCGACATACAAACCACAAAAAAGGGCGCTACAGGTGACTCCTATCCTATGTATGGACCCTTTTAAAACGCATTTAATGAATGAATCGCCAATCTTGTAGTATTCATTGGTTTTCCTTCCTTACCAGCAGGGCATTGAAAATAATTTAACCTCCATTTTATTTTTTAAAGATTTGTTCAAGATATAGAAACAAACTTATATTAAAAATGATCATGATTCTTATTTTTTTTTCCTTAAAAAACATGTTTTAAAGAGAGCGAAAGAAAATATAAAAAAATGACAAATTTTTATGAGGTCATCATCAGCGGACGATTTTTTTTTTTAAAAAAAAGAATAAAAAATTGATTTCATAAATATTGATTTTTTTATTTATTTAAAATGATTTTCGATTTTGAAAAAAATCAAAGCATAGGAGGACAAATCCCTCCCTCAAAGGCTAAAAAATTCAGATGAGAAAATTAATGATTCCTACCTCTTATTACATATATATTTCAATTTATATTTATTTATCACATTCTCAGCAGATTCTATGAATTTATATCGCATTATATTTATCAACCCTTTTAAAATTTCTCACCAAATCATTTGACCTGTTCACTGCAAAACGTAATTAAAATATTTCAAAAAATATGACAAGGATTTGATTGAGACTATGAGAATAGCTGAAAGCATTATATTAGAACTTAAGGAAATTAGGGAAATCGTAGGTGGCTAATTTCACAAATTAGATGTCATTGTTGAGTTAAAGAAATAGCTCTATGAATTTAATATTTGTCTATTTCGACTCCCAGCACACCGTATTAATATTAGTCAATCGAAAAATATACTATAAAATAATTCTCTCTATCACCCTCTTGAATACTTATGTAACTTAAGTGAATGAAATGTCCTTGATTAATCAGGCAGCACTAGCAAATTTGCAACTATTTTCAAATCTTGATAGAGAAAAAATAAAATATTTGGCAGTATTTTATTATGAGGATGTTAAAGTATCCTACCCATTAGTATACTTCTACCAATGAAAGACATTCTTCTTTGAAAAGAATAAAATGATCCTTCAAATGAGTAATACCGGCTCCGAAATTTAGGCCTTTACATCGAAAGTTGATACCAAGCACGGATAAAATCATTGAAAGATTATCCAAATCTCAAAGAAAATTGAATTTTACATAATAAATTTATAATATATACTTCATAATTTTATTTTCCCCCATTATTTAATCCATTTTTTTCCGTAAATACTTTGCAATTTTATATATGTGCAATAATTCTTGAAAATATTTTTGTGCATTAATCTATATTTTCTCTGTTATCTTTTTAAATATAATTTAAATTTATATAATAAAATTTAAATGCTTATTTCTTAATTTTAAAAAGTTTTTTTTCGAGACATTTATTATATAGTGTTTCATAGACCGGTTTTATAATTTAATATTTTATCATTCATTTACATTTAATATTGGGTGTTAGAAATTGTCAATATTTTATAATCATTAGTTCTAATAAATTTCTGAAACTTAATATATTCTTAAATAACTCCTAGAATAATTAAAATAATTTTCTTTAATCACCCCCCCCCCACCCCGAATCTCCATAACGAATTTGAATAGATGATTGGTTGGATAAGGATGGTTCATAACTTTTTGTTTAATTTTTCGAGTAGATTTGATTCCTTATAGAAGAATCCCCCCTCCAATATTCGGCTCCGATTTTTGAAATATTAGCTCTCAGAGTCAGAATCTGCTCTTTGGTTTAAATAGATCATAATAAAAAAATTATCTTATAGAAAAAATTTATTTTTTAAAAAAATGAACGTCAAAAATTATATATAGATGAGAGAAGAAAATAAAAAATTTGACATTTTTGTATTTTTTTTGTTAAAAATCTAACTAATAATAATATATAATTAAAAGAGAAATGTAATGAATCCAGATAGAAAAGAGGGGGGGGGGGAAGGGTGAGAGGAATTTCGTCAATTTAAATAATTCATTCATCAAAGTGGGAATGTGTTTGGTTTGTGTTTTTATATATATATAAAAAAAGAAATTAATATTCAATAGAGCCTATGATTATTTTTTTTTCGAAAATAATCATATTAATTGGCTTTTATGAATAAAAATAACAATTAAGATATAACAATAATTTGTAGTAAAAAAAAACTTTTGCAGAAAAAAATAAAAATGAAGATGAATGAACTCTATTTATTTCTCTTCTCATAATAATACCAATAATGAAATATCTAATATGATTAATAAAATCATAAATTATCCATTCATTCATTTATCTTAGGGATAAATTTATAAAATTTTCTTTTCTATTTAATATGTACAGTAGAAAATTCCAGTTTCAAATGGTATGGTTTTTTAAACTTTAAAAATAAGTAGGGGAAGGATTGTGCAAATCTCTCGCATTAATATTAAAAAACTTTCTGAAAAGAGTTTCTATGCTGCTAAAATGTAATTACAATTATAAGCATTTAAGATAAGCAAATTTTATAAGGATTACAGATTAGATGAAAAAAAATGGTTCTATTTTGAATATATAAATTATATTTAAAAAAATAAATAAATGCTGTGTATGTATATGACTATTTTTTTATCGTAAGAAATATTGTAATATAATATGTATAAACCAGTAAGGTAATTTACCAAAAAAAGCTATTTTCTTTGTGATCTAACTAATTTATTTAATGATTTCATCAATAGTTGATGTCAAATCCCTATGGAATATCTAGAAGCGCTAACCCATTCAATTTATTTTATGGAGGTATCATTTTCCATATAAGTTTTTATTCTTATTTTTGCAATTGCTATTCGAATCAAATAACACAGTTACACACCGAGATCTGCAGAAGTATCATTTCCACGGCCTGGCCCTGATTTTTTAAAGTATATAATATATATTTTTACTTTTTATAAATATTATTGGTGATTTAAAATATTTGGTTTTAGAATACAAGGCCCTGTCTGGGCATTTAAAAAAATTTTCGGGTGTATTAAAAAAAAATTAAAATACAGCCTGACCCGTGACCCGATCGGGGCCTGCAGGTCTCTGGTTACACATTGTTAACGAGAGTTGCGAGTAATCTCGAATTAAAGCCTTTAAAATTGGATCGGGTTTTAGTTAAAATAATATTTTTTAAAAAAAGGCGAAAAAGACTCGGAGATATCAAATGTGTGTATTCTCTAGAAGGTTTTCTCAAATTTCATTTGTAATAGAAGGATTCATAAAAATGGGTTATTCATTTTATAGAGTAAAAACTTCAGTTTTATTATTTCGACTTTATTCATTTATATTTTTTTAAACTATAAAGTCATTAAACAATAGCCTTCAAAAAATAATGATATGAAATTTTTTAAAAATGGAATCAACTGGTATTTAGCTATTCAATATGATTAAGGAGAAAATTAACTAGTAATAGTTATGTAATTGAGAAAAAAATGAATTTAAATAAAAAACGGGCTAATAAAATCAATTGTCCTGAGATGATTGACTTGAAAGTGTGCAGAAGAGAGTTGTGTGCTTAGCTGAATCGCTTTGTTATACCTTAAAATAGCTAGAATTACCCTTTTAGTTACTTTATCAATAAATATATGTGCTATATATTTTCTGCAGCGAGACAGTCATTCACGAAAATCGGTAAAGAATTATCCTTAGACAATAGAATAAACGTATTGGAATAGTCTTCATCATCGACCTTAAATTAAAAAAGAATATATATACAAGTAATTATGAAGAGAGAGGGAGAGCTACTAAAGTATTGTTCTCGTATAAAGGCGGAATTGAAGATAAATATTATTTCAACAGATATAGCACAAAATAGCATCAAAGACTCTCAAGAGTCATTTAACAAGAATTCGGATTATTAATTAAACTGTTGACAAAACTATGTTTTTTTAAAAAAAAATTTTATTTGTGGTTGCTTTTTTTTAATGAAAAACCCCCCAATTTTGAATTATAGGATAATTTTGATATTATATGACTAAAGTAAATAAAAAAAATTTTAGTAAAATATAAATAAAGTATTGTACTGTAATTTATTTCCTTAAAGACTCATTTAAAAAAATTAAGTATAATTCATGTGATTTCTTAATTTCTAAAAATTATATGTCATAAGATATTAAAATGTGGTCG